TATCTCCGGAACTAATGCAGATATTTGAAAATGGTAAACGGCGTTTTTATTCTTTCATGGAACTCTATGTGATACACCTAAAAAATCAAGGGGTAAAGATTTGATCAGAGTACCATTTTAAGTTAAAAGCTTCTATCCTTGTTGTTTTCCAGCGTCTATACATTATTTAATGCGACTCTGTCTAAAAAGAATACCAAAACTGTAAAGAGAGTTTAGTTGTGAATAAAAGTGCTTTGTACGGTATTTACTCAAACATTGGCTTAGATCTGAAATCTCACTCGTTCACTATATGCTTACTTGTTCAAATAATTTCTAACACATCACCAACTTGTGCATAAATACTGTATGCACGCACATTACATAAATTAATCTGTATGTATCTATTGTCTTGTGTTCTGTTGCATTGTGTGGTATGTTCTGGTCTAGTCTGGTCTTACAAGGTAGGATAATGTATGGTATATGATATGATGTGGTATGTTATTACAGTACGTATTATCATAGGCAGTGTACACATACTTGGAATAGCCTTTCCATATAGGCGGCCATCAACGTTCCATACTGGGACACTCTCTAAGCTTACAAATTCAACAGTTCCTGAAGCCATATCTTCTGAAAGATTACCCTCAAATGAGATATCAAATGGTCCTTGCGAATTCTGAAAATGAAAAAGTGGTTGCTCAAAATGCCTGAAAGTTTTCTACCCCAGCAATGTAACCCCTTGTTAAAACTGAGATCTTAAATCCTAATGGTTTACAACTTGTGGTGTTTCCTCATTTTTTCCCCTTCGATTATGCATGTTGCATCCAAGGAAAAGCACATTATTTTTTTTTCTATCTACTCAGCTTGTTTATTTAGTTTTCTTACTATTCTACCCAAACCAATGTTCCAGTGCCAATCAAAATAATATAGTCCATTTTAAAATTTATAAGCAGGCCGTATAATCAGCCTGTAATTTAATTTTTGTATCCTTACCTATAGCNTGGAAAATACTTGCTAGAGTTATGTAGTTGAATGATGGGCAGAGTATATTCATGAACCTGCAGAAGCCAGCAACTTCTTGTCACAGCCACTGTAGAATAATGTTCTAATTACTGTTCCTAATAAACTGAACAAAGCAAGGAAATCTACGTAAACACAATATGCATATCATTACAACCCGAGCATCAAATAGCAAATCTCGTCTCAACAAAGGATGGCTGAATGAAGGAAATGTTAAAGAAAATTTAAGATTGATTATTATTCAAGGCAAAGCAAAGAAATGCATTTAGAAGCCAAAATCCAGAATTTCAAAGATGGGCAGTGTTCATGTTTAATAGCTATTCGCGCTAAAGAGTAATTTGACTATAAGAGGGTCATACAGGGGTAGTCTTAATAAAGTGTGTTATCGTTTGTCTCATGATGTAGTCACTTGGGATGTAGATCGTGACGTTTCGACTGCTTACTGCTAGTCTTCTTCAGGCAATAAGGTCGACTGATTGTATATTCGTGATTTCACAACTCTCTTCTGTGTCATATTGAGCCCTCCAAAAGATCTATTTTAATAAAAAGACTGAAAACACCAAATTTGACCTCTGCATAATTATTGTAACATCTTGTAAGGCATCAGCAACTACCAAGTAACAGATAGATTTCCGTAATGTCAAAAAGAATAATCCAAGTTTCACCGTTGATCTGTACTCTTAATTGTCTGACAGTTCAGGTTCAATTTGCTTTCCTCAAACACTCTTTCTGGCATAGAAGCAATTAATTCAAGTGTGACTCTAACAGCACTCATTTATTTTTAACATTTGATCGATATATTTTAGCTCAAGCCTAAAATTGTGCATTAGAGACCAAGAAATACCATGTGATATTTTGATGTTAAGAACAAAACAAAACCTTTTCATGACGCTGAGCGCTTTCTACAGGCCGTAAACATTTACAGTTATTATCGGATGATTTCAAACAATACACACCATTTATTAACCATGTCTTCTGGGTCTGTACTATAAGTTATGGACGGAGTTTTTCCCCCTTTGATTTATGGCCCAAGCGTGAAGCATGGGGGCCATACATTGTAGGGGGAAAAAACAAGAATCCGTAACTTACAGTACGGATCGAGAACACTAGGTAGTAAGATACTTGTTATATCTCTACTATGTGTTTGATGGGTTCGGGAGTGATTTCTATTTATGCTGAACGGTTTCAAATTTCTGACGTATGTCAAAAGCAAAATGAGTCAATTTGAAATCATTGTTAAGTCATTAGCATTTTTTAATATACAATTTAAAGTAAAAGAAAGTTTTTAAACATTTACTTGCTATAAAAGTTAAAAACACTTGGTGATAGATCAGAAAACATTTTGGCAACAAAGACAGCTTTAAATTTTAGCGGACCATACAGTGGAATACCGCCTGCTAAATTAAACAATCGAAGTACACGTAGTAAATGAGAGATATAATAATGTCTTTGTCGTTTTGTTTACTGATGTCCTGAAAGCTGCATCAAATCGGCAATCTGTATTCAAAACACAGTTGAAAGCATTTTATATATTGATTGTCATATTTTTTGTGGCTATTGAAGGAAAGAAAACATCTCGAGGTATTTTTTTACCAACAAGGATTTTATCACCCTCTACCCCAGGATTTTCCCTAACACGCCTCTAAAAGATTGTTTGGTCTTTCTTCTTTCCATTTTATGACCTAAAAGTTGTCTGTGTTATGAATGAAAATAAGACCTTAAAAGGTTGTCAATTTGCGGAAGTGACATACAGACGTACGTACATAGAGCCATGTAACAACCAAGAACTTTTAGCTCAATGGGTTACCAAATTTTCTAAGTTATGGTTCTCCGGTCGCCCACCTTTGGAGGAACTAAACTAAGAAGCTTTTAACGTAGCATATTCCATACTATAATTGGCACTAATGTCTTGTTAATGAAAATGGGTGCTTTTTTTGTGACAGTTAGCCTGAAACCATAGTGCACCTATTTTGGTTTTGTGATCAGATATTTCACCTCTGAAGCGCCCTCACAAATTATATTTGGGAGGTAACAGAAATTGAAATAGAGTTTTCCTTCAATCTGTTCTCTCCGGCTATACAAACTGTATGCCTGGTGCAACTAACTGTACATGTATTATTTTAGCAGTCAGGTTTTTCCTCTGTAAATGTGAAATGGAAGGACGTAACCTTGATTTTTGCTAGTGTAGAGAGCGTCCAGCAAGTTCTTCCAAAACATAAGCCATTAAAACTTTCAAAAAAAATTACAAGAGTGCTCGTACAGAATCTTTCTACAGTTCCCGGTCCAATACTTAATAAATGTTGGACCGGGAATGGAGCGATCTGGTTGGCTGATATTAGTTATTGGCCCTCTGACTTAACTTACCGGTCATCGAGTTATAATATCTTAAGTTGACCAAGACTGGAACTTGTATGAAGACATGATTGATCACCACAGATTAAAAAACATTACTGGATGCTGTTGGCATGATGGTACAAAAACAGGTACAAAAACGACATCACAAAACAAACTGTCATGAAATACAAAATTGTCATTTAGTACTTGTAAGCAGCAACACTTACACTAACCTGTCTTATGTTTTCTCTCATTTTTCGATATCATCTGAATTAAACCCTCTAAATCGTCTGACCGTTTTGTCATCGCACTTTCCATTTCATCCTCGTCAGGCATTTTTTGCAGCAATTTACATAGAATTTTCTCTACGTCATCTTTAGTGGGCATTTCATCCAGGCGCTTGTTTTGTTTCTCCAACTGAGCACGAATTGCATCCTGACTAGTTTTCTGAATCTCCTCCAAGAGCTCTTTCACGTCTCTTTGTACAATCAGCTTAAAACCTACGGTACAACAAAGATATTATTGTCATCCTGGGTTGGCGGGAAAGGAAAAACGTGTAGAAAGATATCAAATCATTTTCACTCATTTATTTTATTTATACCTTCACCTCCCCTTTTCAAGTGGTGTTAAGTTAAGCCCTGGCTACACTCATCTGCATGGTGACTCATAGAAGGAGCCGATCTCAGCTTCCTAAAACTGCTGTCTAAAGGAAGTCTGCCTGAGGACATCATTAAGTCCAATGAAGGTGCATTCAGTCTAACGATTTACTAATAGGCATTATCCATTATGGTACATGAAAATGCCCTGAGTTGTAACCAGTAGTCCAGTTCTGGCCCTCTCTCTATCACGCAACGCTAGGGAGAAAGGGCCCAGGAACAACTGTCTGTGCATGCTCCCGCTATACCAATCAGAGCGGATCAGAATGTAAGATGTCGATTTTACCCCACTGAAAAAATATTTATTGTGAGTGAGGTTGGCAACACTCGGAAGACTTTTCAAGCTTTAGTTCAAGATTAACTTGGTGGACTGCAATGTCTGTGGCATGTCTATGCATGAATTGATTTAGACTTGTATTTCATGTTGAGAACACTCTTAATTAAATTGTACAATTTATGACTCAGTGTAAAGACCGTGAATTTAAGTTGAAAAACTTTGACATGCTTGTAAGGATTTGTGAGCATTTTAAATTAGACATCATCACTGTTTCCAGAAACAGAAAGGAGGGTTTTGTTAATCAAATCAAAGAGCTTGTTGGAAGTCGCAGCTGCGATATGTAACAGTTTGAGTTAAATTTACTAAGATAGATATTCATTACATAGAAACGCTGGTTTATGCAACTGAAGCTCAGAAACGTTTTGAGAGAAGCGAAAACAAAGATGGTAAGTGGTTACATTACATGCCTTAGATACTGCAGAAATTTAGTTAGGTGTATGTACATGTAGCCACCATTTGGATAACGATTGTGGTTGCATGACTTTAAAAATCAGCCCAGTAACTTCATGTTCAACATAACACGTAAGTCTCCATTGCAACAATCTGAGGTGATGGAACCTTTCCGCTTTAAATGAGGCCAGAGAAGTTGTTGTTTCTGGGAGAAAACAAGCCGAGACATTTTTAAATTAAAATAAATAACGAATTTATTATCTCAAAAAGTTGAATAGCCTTTTTTGTTTCCGTGGTTTAGAAAAATCAGTCAGGCGAGTTGTTGTGTGTTATTAATAATTATTAAACTCTCAACCTAGGATAATGCAATTCTAGCTTTCTGATTGGTTCACTGGATCTCGGTTGCCAGCCATTATACCTGCGTTTGACCTTATATGGAAATGGATGCGGTAAATGTCGCTCGGCATAAACTTTTTTATGGGAAGCCAAGTTTCGTCAACAAAAAATTGATGGAAAAAGCAGATTCGCTGAGCTATCTACGGAAGAAATACAGGAAATGATGGACAATGCCGTCCCAGTAACAACAAAAAGCCACAAAGTTCGAGATGAGATTATTTAACGGTACGTACAGGTTAAGTTTCCCTTTAACGTTGCAAAATTAAAATATGACCATCGAGATTTTACGCATTCATGAAGATCATGTAACAAAAACAATGCTTACGTTTTGGAGAGAATATGCCCGGAAGAACACCCTAAATCTGAAAAAATCGGGCTTCGTTAACGCATAAGGCCACAGTGTCTGTAAGCCCAAAAATATTGCAATTAGATCTTTGAAGTGAAATGTTCTCTGCCAAATATTGTTTAAGTGGACCTATTAAGTCAATTTTTTTTAGCTTCCCACATTGACTTTTTGTTCATATTTGGACAATGTGGAGATTTTAATTTTAAGTAACATCTGTTTCTGGAGTACGAATTCCAATGAAAAGTTCGGTCAGAAATATTTCCCGCCAAAGCGAGGTGTTTTTTACTAATGCTTTCACTTTTTTTGACCTTCTACGATTGGCAATCCATGACTCACTAAAAGACCCACTTGCAATAGTTAGCTGGACTGCAGGATAGAATATTTAAGCATGCCAAATCCATTTAAGCTAATTAATTTTACCCAGTATGGGTTGAATTTTCCCCATAGAATTCTTCTTTAGACGTCACGCTGCATGTGAAAACGATATGTATCCTCAGTTCTCTTGTTCTTTTTTTGCTGTCGTGTAAAACATACTGCAACCATATAATGATCGAAAGCTCTACCCTAAATTAATTTTATGACTTTTGCTAACACTTTCTTTGCTTTCGGAACGCGTGATGCGTCATATATATAGCCGATTGAAGGTCTGACGGCAGAAGTTTGCAAATGCGGATCTTTTTTAAAGGTTTCTATCATTTCTCCTTTGGTATGTTTCAAAAACACGAACTGTTCTGTTTTTGGATCAAAAAAATTGCTAAGCAATGCAGGTGGATTCTGGTCAGTTATTCTTCCATTATCGGCGTATAAACTGATGAACGAGATTGTCGAGGAAAGTCAGAGGTCAGCAAATCCAGTGATTCGAAAAGACAGGTTGGGTGACACCAATTTGCCGCTATCCAACATGGTGTCCATTCCACAAAGAGGTCACGAAGGAAAGAAGAATAGAATAAAAATCCCAAGACTTATAAATGCTGTTATGTCTGGATTACCAGCGGAAATCTTTCTTGCGATCAATGTTGTTTTTGTCGGCGCAGGTTAGTATACCTTCTGTTCTACCTTCCCAGTTTTAAATGGGCACGCACCTGCTCGCATTTACTTTGCAGTCCCGTTTTCCATATTGAACTGAAGTAAATGCAACTCTGTAACTTTATGTATACATATACACAGTTAAACAGGTCGAATTGTTTAGAATTGCGGTGCCGTGATTGTGAAATCTACACATTGTCCATTTGTCAGTAATCTAATTAA